AACAGCATCCTCTCCCTAATGTACTATTGTATAAACTCTGTTATAAATTGTTTACACATATTTATGAGTTTGTGTTTGCATTCTCCATTATTTTTCAGCTATTATTCTGTCATTACAAGAATACACACTCTATAAAAATGATTATATGATGATTTTCCTCTTTTATTCTGATATTGTGGGACACTACACTAATTTTCAAAAACTAACTTAACCTTGTATGCCAAAATAAACCCAACTCTATTTTAGTAAATTATCTCTTTATATCATGGGATTTGGTTTATTAATATTTTGTTTAGGCTTTCCATCCATGTTCACTGGTAAGATTGGCACATAATTTTGCCTACTCATAATGTTCTTTTCAAATGTTATCTATTGCAGCATAACAATTTATACCAATACTTAGTAGATGTATTAGGGTTCTCCAAACAGTAATAGGTTATATAGAGAGATTTATTATAAGAAATTGGCTCAGGGCGCCTGGGTGGCTCAGTTGGTTAAGGGACTGCCTTCGGCTCAGGTCATGATCTTGGAGTCCCGGGATCGAGTCCCACATCGGGCTCCCTGCTCAGCAGGGAGTCTGCTTCTCCCTCTGACCCTCTTCCTTCTCGTGCTCTCTATCTCTCATTCTCTCTCTCTCAAATAAATAAATAAAATCTTTAAAAAAAAGAAATTGGCTCACACAATTATGGAAGATGAAAATTCCCACCATCTACAGTTTGCAAGCTGGAGACCTTAGAAAGTCAGTGCTGTAAATCAGACCCAATCTGAAGCCTGAGAACCATGATGCAAATGGTGTAGACTCCAGTGTGTGTTTGAACACTTATGAACCAGAAGCACTGAGGATAAGAGATCAATTGCTCAAGCAATCAGAGAGAAAGAAAAGGGCAAATTTTCCCTTCTGTCTTTTGCTCTATTCAGGATCTCAATGGGTTAGGTGATGACCACCCACATTGGAGAGGGCAATCTTCTTTACTGGGTTCACCATTCAAACGCTAATCTCATCCAGAAACACTCTTACAGACACATCCAGAAATAATGTTTAATCTAGGCACCCTATGGACTAATCAGCATGTCAAATTAAACATCACAGTATCCTAAAACAAAAACAAAAAAACTTTGATTTATTGTGTTACAGTTTCTATGGTCACAAATATACATGTGGCTTAGCTGAGTCCTCTGTTTCAGAGTATCTCATGGCTCCAGTCAAAATATTAGCCAGATCTGTGGTCATCTCAAGATTCAAAGGGAAAAAATGGTTTTCAAGCTCACTCACTTGATGGTTGGAAAGATTTCTGAGTGTTGTTCAACTGAACACCTCAGTTTCTTGCTGGTTATTGACTGAAAGCTGCCTGAGTTCCTTGGTATGTAAGCCTCAGGGCAGTTTACAGCATGGTAAGCAGAGTATTTCACAGTGAGCAAGTGAAAGCTAGAGAATGTCACAGTCTGAAATCACAGACATTTGTAATGTAATTTTGGAACTGACATTCTATCACTTTTGCCATATTTAGTTGAAGGCAAGTCACTAGATTCAACCCATACTCAAGTGGAAGAGATTGTACAAGAGTGAGAATATCACATGGTTATGCTGACCTCGTGAAACATGTTGGAGATAGTTTATTTTTCTATCCTCTGTAATTTTGCGTATTATTTGTATGTATAATAAGATATATTATTTCTTAGTATTATTTTATTCTTTCAGCAAAATATAATAAATATTTCTTTAAATATAATATATGGTCTAGTATATTGATACCTTGACTTAAAGTCTGTTAACCTTTATATGAATAAAAATAAATCTCAAAATATATTATATATAAAAATATATTAAGTATATATGTTTTAAATATATTAAAATATAAAATATAACATTTTATAATATAATAAATATGTTATATTTATAATTACAATTATATAATTATATAATAAATATTCTACGAAGCACTCTGGGCCCAGAGGTGATAAAGTTAACTCATATATCATGAACCACAAAACTGAGGCTTGCCCCAGTGGCCCACTCAAATCTAAACCTAAGTCAACCTGCCCTTACATGAAACTCCTGTCAAGGAAACCCAACCTAACATACACCAATTAGAATCCTCCAACTCAGCTTTAATCAACTTACCTTACCTTAGAAAATAGGACTTACAAACATTATAAGGGAATTCCCAACCTACTAGCCAATCATGCCCTGTTTCTGCATTGCCTCTTCCAACCCCTCAGGAAGAGGACTACTTATGAGGAACTGTTCTCCTCTAATCCATGGGCTGTTTTCACTTGAATAAGGGATATCAAGATATCAAATTCTTTTAGTTATATCATTTGACAAATTGGTGATGAGATGGACCCAAAGACAGCTACTGAAGTTTCCAGGGACAGCTCTTGGCACAGGAGCAAGTCACAGAGCCCTTTTAGTTTGCTGCCTCTTGGGGTGACTCCGTGGCTCAATCAGTTAAGAATCTGCCTTTGACTCAGGTCATGATCCCAGAGTCCCTGAACTGAGCCCCACATTGGGCTCCCTGCTCAGTGGAGAGTCTGCTTCTCCCTCTGCCTCTCCCCCTGCTCATGTTCTCTCTCTCTCTCTCTCTCAAATAAATATAATCTTTAGTTTGTTGCCTCTTGTGCCACTCTCTGGTATCTCTAGGATCCCCAATAAGCTTCTTTCAGATTCATTTCCACTTACTTTGCATTCAGAGCTCTTCCAGTTAGTTTGTCCTAATCCTTCTGGGTAGATAATTGGGATGTGAGAGAGTCCATATTTTTCCAGGTGAAACGGTGGGCCACAGCTTTTGGGGTAGTGACTGACCTCATCTACACTACATCAATATTGACTTTGAGAGGTGCTTACAAGTCTCAGGAACTGTGCACAGGCAGTTAGAAACAGTAAATCTGGTTAAATTAGGGAGGATTATTAAATTTAAGCTGCCTGAGCAGGTAAACTTAACTTATTCCATCTATCATAAACATAATTTGAAACCAACTGTTCTTTTATAAACTAGTGAGTTTTGCATTATACCTGTCTTCTGTCTATTTTTTAAAAGCTGTATCTGTTTGCAAATGTCTGTATGTTTGCAAATTTCTGTATATTTAATGTACGTCTATGTATGTATATTACAAATGTGCGTGTGTATGTGTATGTTTACCTCTGGATGGTATAGCTAAAACTAATTTGTAAAGAGCTCTATTTAACTGGCTTAAAGAAAATTAAACATTTATATAAATCAAGTGTATCAGAAATATAGAAACTACCCCCAAATGCTTTGAGTTCATGTGTTCTAGGCTAATCTTTGATAAACCAAATCTAGTTTAAATTTGCTAGTTTAATTAAAATAGGCAGATTTTTAGAGTTATCAGCATTCAATATAACACATACAACTTTTGTTCTACCAGGTTTCCTAAAAGTCAAATAAGTTCACATTATTTCTGATACAGAATTTGTGAGCAAGAAAGATGACATGATAGTTAACTATTTAATGTCTCATGAAACTTTCACGAATAATTTAAACATATTTGTTAAGAACAAGTTCATTAAATAGATGTAAGATAAAAGTCTATAAATTTTTAATAATAATTATGCTTGGTATGTGAACTTAAAAATAATTTCCAAAATCTTTTTGAAAGCTTGAAACTTGAGGTGCCTGGGTGGCTCAGTCAGTTAAGCATCTGCCTTCAGCACAGGTTATGATCTCGTGGTCTTGGGATTGAGCCCCACATCGGGCTCCCTGCTTAGCCTGCTTCTCCCTCTCCCTCTGCCATTCCTCCTGCTTGTGTTCTCTTTCTCTCTTTCTCAAAGAAATAGAGAAAGAAAGAAAGAAAGAAAGAAAGAAAGAAAGAAAGAAAGAAAGAAAGAAAGAAAGAAAGAAAGAAGAAAGAAAGAAAGAAAGAAAGAAAGAAAGAAGAAAGAAAATCTTTAAAAAAAGAAAACTTGAAACCTTAAAGTTATACTGAGATAAGTTAAATAATGAATATTCATTAAATATCTAGATTATTTACAAATAAGATTAAATACTGAAACATTGATTACTGAACATAGCTTTATCCACTGTTGGCTTCTTATTAAAGAGGAACTAAAGCTATTTGGATGAATTAGTAAACTTGTTTTGTGTCACATTGAAAAAGTTACTATGAGGAAAAATACACTTCTAGAAATTATGAAATATACTTTTTAATTTGCCAGTCCACAGAATGCTAGTGTAACAATCCAGAATTGCTTACTTCTTAGTTTTCACTAGAAATTGAGTATTCTAAGTGTTAAGAGTTCTCATTAAGACATGTAATTTAAACTACTAGAAATAAATAAGGAAAACATCTCTACGGGAGGGAACTAGGATGTGTTCTTGGTGAGAGAAGGTATGAGATATGATTTGTATTTGAATATGTGGTCTTTATGACTGGTTTATTTACTTAGCATAATGTTTTCAAGGTTCATCCATTTTGTAGCATGTATTCGTGCTACATTCTTTTTTATGGCTGGATAATATTCCATTGTATGAATATACCAAATTTCTGTTCATTCATTTATCAGTTAATGCATATGTGAGTTTTCCCCCCTATTTAGCTATTATGAATAACGCTATTAACATTAGTGTTAATTTAAGTGTGAACACAGATTTTCAATTCCCTCCACTGTATGGCTAGGAGTGGAATTGCTGTGTCATATACTAACTCTGCTTAGTGTGAAAAGTGTCTCAATTGTTTCCATAGCAATTGAGACATTTTACATTCGCATGAGAAATTTATGAATGATAAAATTTCTTCATAATGTTACCAAACAAGTTGTTTTCTGTTTTATTTTTGTTTCTTGGTTTTGTTTTCATTATAGTGATGCTGGTTGATATAAACTGGTATCTTAGTGTGTTTTTCATTTATGTTATCTAATGACTAATGATCTTGAGCATCATGTCATGTGGTTATTGTTATTTATATATATATATATATCTTTAGAGAAATATTTTTTCTTGTACAAAAAGGAAAATTAGAAATATTTTTATTTCAGGATGATGAGGCCCCGCCTTCCCGCTTCGGCTGCTGCTTGTTTCCCTGCCACCACCAATCCCCGAGGATCATCTATCCTTTGGTGCAGGCAAAAAAGCAAGTAGCAATTGGTCAGGGGAAGAATGGCATTAAAGAAGATTTCCAGCAACAAGTGCTTTGGAGGATTGCAGAAAGTTTTTGAACATGACAGTGTTGAACTGAACTGCAAAATGAAATTTGCTATCTACTTACCACCAAAGGCAGAAACTGGAAAATGCCCTGCACTATATTGGCTGTCTGGTTTGACTTTCATGGAACAAAATTTTATATCAAAGGCTGGTTATCATCAAGCTGCCTCCAAACATGGCCTTGTCATCATTGCTCCAGATACGAGCCCTCGTGGCTGCAATATTAAAGGAGAAGTTGAGAGCTGGGACTTTGGCACTGGTGCTGGGTTTTATGTGGATGCCACTGAAGATCCTTGGAAAACTAACTACAGAATGTACTCTTATGTAACTGAGGAGCTTCCCCAACTCATAAATGCCAATTTTCCAGTGGACCCCCAAAGGATGTCTATTTTTGGCCACTCCATGGGAGGCCATGGAGCTCTGATTTGTGCTTTGAAGAATCCTGGAAAGTACAAATCTGTGTCAGCATTTGCTCCCATTTGCAACCCAGTGCTCTGTCCTTGGGGCAAAAAAGCCTTTAGTGGATATTTGGGAACAGATCAAAGTAAATGGAAGGCTTATGATGCTACCCATCTTGTGAAGTCCTACCCAGGTTCTCAGCTGGACGTACTAATTGATCAAGGGAAAGATGACAGGTCAATGGCCTTCTTTACTAACTGAAGAAACCCAAAATGTACATTTATGGAAATCGTATAGCTCTCCTAATTTCTGAAAAATTATTAAAGGCTCCTGAAACATATATAAATGCTTAATTACTGTCTTGCTACCCAAATTTATGACCAATCAGACTTATGTTGTTCAATTAGTAGGAATAAGAACTATTAAAAATACCACCAGACTTCTTTCCACTGAAGGAAGATGGGACTCATTAGCCAAAGATTTTTATTGGATTCCAATATCTACTGACATTTGCAAATTCAAGCAAATATATGGATATGCCCTAAACAACAATGGAACTCTAAATTCACTCCAACTCAGCCTATAACAGCTACACCTACACAAACTAACATATGGTATATGGGAAAAGGAAGATTTTTTTGGGAAAGTATTGCAAAACATTCCTGTAATCTCCTTAGTATATTTTTATTTAATTAAATTATTTATTTCCTTAATTTATTATTAGGGGCTTTTTTGGTTATCTATTCCTTTATTGATGGGTAGATAGGTTGTTTTCAGGGTTTTGACTATTATGACAAAAATCAGCTGTAGGTATTTTTTTTTATGTTCAGTTAGCCACTGTATAAGACATCATTTGTTTTTGATGTAGTGTTCAACGATTCATTCGTTACATATAACACCCAGTGCACATCACAACATGTACCCTCCTTAATACCCATCACCCTGTTACCTCTTCCCCCAACCCACTTCCCTTCTGAGACCCTCAGTTCATTTCCCCGGGTCCATAGTCTCTCATGGTTCATCTCCCTCTCTGATTTCTCCCCCTTCAGATTTCCCTCCCTTTCCCTGTAGTCCTCTGTGCTTATGTTCCACATATGAGTGAAACCATATGATAATTGTCTTTCTCTGCTTGACTTACTTCACTTAGCATAATACCCTCCAGTTCCATCCATGTCGATGCAAATGGTGGGTATTCATTCTTTCTGATGGCTGAGTAATATCCCATTCTATATATATATCACATCTTCTTTATCCATTCATCTGTTGAAAGGCCTCTTGATTCCTACCACAATTTGTATGTTGTGCACATTGCTGCTATGAACACTGGGGTTTGTGTGCCCCTTCTTTTCACTACATCTGTATTTTTGGGGTAAATACCCAAATAATGCAATTGCTGGGTCAGAGAGTATCTCTATTTGTAACATGTTGAGGAACCTCCATACTGTTTTCCAAAGTGACTGTGCCAGCTTGCATTCCCACCAATGGTGTAAGAGGGTTCCCCTTTATCCACATCCTCAGCAACATTTGTTGTTTTTTTGTCTTCTTAATTTTTGCCATTTTAACTGGTGTGAGGTGGTATCTCATTACAGTTCTGATTTGTATTTCCCTGATGGCTAATGATGTTCAGCATTTTTTCATATGTCTGTTAGCCATTTGTATGTATTCTTTGGAGAAGTGTCCGTTCATGTCTTCTGCCCATTTTTTGACTGGGTTATTTGTTTTATGAGTGTTGAGTTTGAGAAGCTCTTAAATATCTTGGATACCAGCCCTTTATCTGTAGTGTCATTTTCAAATATCATCTCCCATTCTGTGGGTTGCCTCTTAGTTTTGTTGACTGTCTCCTATGCTGTGCAGAAGCTTTTTATCTTGATGAAGTCCCAAAAGTTCAGTTTTGCTTTTGTTTCCCTTGCCTTTGGAGACGTGTCTTGAAAGAATTTGCTGTGGCCGATGTGGAAGAGGTTACTGCCTATCTTCTCCTCTAGGATTTTGAAGGATTCCTGTCTCACATTAAGGTCTTTCATCCATTTTGAGTTTATCTTTGTGTATGGTGTAAGAAAATGTTCCAGTTTCATTCTTCTGCATGTGGCTGTCCAATTTTCCCAGCAGCACTTATTGAAGAGACTGTCTTTTTTCCATTGGATATTTTTTCCTGATTTGTCGAGAATTAGTTGACTATAGAGTAGAGGGTTCATTTCTGTAGTCTGTATTCTGTTCCATTGGTCTATGTATCTGTTTTTGTTTCAACACCATGCTGTCTTGGTGATCACAGCTTTGTAATATAACTTGAAGTCAGGCAACGTGATGCCCCCAGCTTTGTTTTCTTTTTCAATTCCCTTGGCGATTCAGGGTCTTTTCTGGTTCCATAGAAATATCAGGATTGTTTGTTCTTGCTCTTTGAAAAATGCCAATGGTATTTTAATTGGGATGGCATTGAAAGTGTACATTGCTCTCAGCAAGATAGACATTTTAACAATGTTTATTCTTCCAATCCATGAGCATGGAATGTTTTTCCATCTTTTTGTGTCTTCAATTTCTTTCATAAGTGTTCTGTAGTTTTGAGAGTATAGATCCTTCACCTCTTTGGTTAGGTTTATTCAGAGGTATCTTATGGTTTTTGTTGCTGTTGTGAATGGAATTGATTCCTTAATTTTTCTTGCTACAGTTACATTGTTAATGTATAGAAAAGTAACTGATATCTGTGCAGTGATTTTGTGTCCTGCCACATTGTTGAATTGCTGTATAAATTCTAGTAATTTGGGGGAAGACTTTTTGGGCTTTCCACATAAAGTATCATGTCATCTGCAAAGAGAGAGAGTTTGACTTCTTCTTTGCCAATTTGGATGTTTTTTATTTCTTTTTGTTGTCTGATTACTGAGCCTAGAACTTCCAGCACTATTTTGAATAATAGTGGTGAGAGTGGGCATTCCTGTCATGTTCCTGACCTTAAGGGAAAAGTTCTCAGCTTTTCCCCATTAATAATGATATTTGCTGTGGACTTTTCATAGATGGATTTTATGATATTGAAGAATGTTCCCTCTATCCCTATACTCTGAAGAATTTTAATCAGGAACAGATGTTGTGTTTTGTCAAATGCATTTTGTACATCAGTTGAGAAGACTATGTGGTTCTTGTCTTTTCTTTTGTTAATGTGCTCTATCATATTGATTGATTTGTGAATGTTGAACCACCCTTGCATCCCAGGAATAAATCCCACTTGGTCATGGTGAATAACACTTTTTTTTTAATTCTTTTTTTATTGTTATGTTAATCACCATATATTACATCATTAGTTTTTGGTGCAGTGTTCCATGATTCATTGTTTGTTCATAACACCCAGTGCTCCATGCAGAACGTGCCCTCCTCAATACCCATCACCAGGAAAACCCATCCCCCTCCCCCCCTCCCCTCTAGAACCCTCAGTTTGTTTTTCAGAGTCCATCATCTCTCATGGTTCGTCTCCCCCTCTGACATACTCCCCTTTTCTTCCTCTCCTGTTATCTTCTTCTTTTTCTTTTTTCTTAAAATATGTTGCATTATTTGTTTCAGAAGTGTAGATCTGTGATTCAACAGTCTTGCACAATTCACAGCACTCACCGTAGCACATACCCTCCCCAATGTATATCACCCAGCCACCCCACCCCCCCCACCCCCAACCCCTCCAGTAACACTCAGTTTGTTTCCTGAGATTAAGAATTCCTCATATCAGTGAGGTCATGTGATACATGTCTTTCTCTGATTGACTTATTTCACTCAGCATAACACCCTCCAGTTCCATCCACGTCGTTGCAAATGGCAAGAGATCATTCCTTTTGATGGCTGCATAATATTCCATTGTGTATATATACCACTTCTTCTTTATCCATTCATCTGTCGATGGGCATCTTGGCTCTTTCCACAGTTTGGCTATTGTGGACATTGCTGCTATAAACATTGGGGTACACGTACCCCTTCGGGTCCCTACATTTGTATCTTTGTGGTAAATACCCAGTAGTGCAATTGCTGGATCGAACGGTAGCTCTAATTTCAACTGTTTGAGGAACCTCCATACTGTTTTCCAGAGGGGTTGCACCAGCTTGCATTCCCACCAACAGTGTAGAAGGGTTCCCCTTTCTCCACATCCCCGCCAACGTCTGTTGTTCCCTGACTTGTTAATTTTAGCCATTCTGACGGGTGTGAGGTGGTATCTCATTGAGGTTTTGATTTGGATTTCCCTGATGCCGAGTGATGTTGAGCACTTTTTCATGTGCCTGTTGGCCATTTGGATGTCTTCTTTGGAGAAATGTCTGTTCATGTCTTCTGCCCATTTCTTGATTGGATTATTTGTTCTTTGGGTGTTGAGTTTGATAAGTTCTTTATAGATTTTGGATACTAGCCCTTTATCTGATATGTCGTTTGCAAATATTTTCTCCCATTCTGTCGGTTGTCTTTTGGTTTTGTGGACTGTTTCTTTTGCTGTGCAAAAGCTTTTTATCTTGATGAAATCCCAATAGTTCATTTTTGCCCTGGCTTCCCGTGCCTTTGGCGATGTTTCTAGGAAGAAGTTGCTGCGGCTAAGGTCGAAAAGGTTGCTACCTGTGTTCTCCTTTAGGATTTGGATGGACTCCTGTCTCACGTTTAGGTCTTTCAACCATTTGGAGTCTATTTTTGTGTGTGGTGTAAGGAAATGGTCCAGTTTCATTCTTCTGCATGTGGTTGTCCAATTTGCCCAACACCATTTGTTGAAGAGACTGTCTTTTTGCCATTGGACATTCTTTCCTGCTTTGTCAAAAATAAGTTGACCATAGAGTTGAGGGTCCATTTCTGGGCTCTCGATTCTGTTCCATTGATCGATGTGTCTGTTTTTGTGCCAGTACCAAACTGTCTTGATGATGACAGCTTTGTAATAGAGCTGGAAGTCCGGAATTGTGATGCCGCCAGCTTTGCTTTTCTTTTTCAGTATTCCTCTGGCTATTCTGGGTCTCTTCTGGTTCCATACAAATTTTAAGATTATTTGTTCCATTTCTTTGAAAAAAGTGGATGGTATTTTGATGGGGATTGCATTGAATGTGTAGATTGCTCTAGGTAGCATTGACATCTTCACAATGTTGATTCTCCCAATCCATGAGCATGGAACGTTTTTCCATTTCTTTATGTCTTCTTCAATTTCTTTCCTGAGTATTTTATAGTTTTCTGAGTACAGATCCTTTGCCTCTTTGGTTAGATTTATTCCTAGGTATCTAATGGTTTGGGGTGCAATTGTAAATGGGATAGACTCCTTGATT